TGACAGTGTCATCGATATCACTGATAACCCTGACTTTTCGATTAGTTACAGGAATGGTTATATGTGTCGCGATCGTTTTTGTTTCACGAATATAGCCCTCGTCTTCTGGGGGTTGAATCTGAAGTATGGGTCCTAGTTCAGCCTGGACGACAATCTAGTGTTAGGTTAGCTGGCGGACATTCTACCTTGAACGATCAACATACCTTGGGTTCTGTATCGTAATTACCAAAGGCGAGCGATAGACCTTCAGGGTTCGTACAGATTGTTTCAAAAGGGATAGATATATCCTGAATGAAGGTTCCTTGTGCATCTGTCGAGGTCTGGATCTTGAACAAGGGCTGCCTCCCCTCTTCAAGGGGTGTGAAGGAGGTAGTCTCAATGGTCTCTCCTTGATCGCTATCATTACTACAGAATATCGATAGTATGACTGGTCGGTTGGGAATGCCACTGGACCAGAAAGGTTGGAGTCGAAGATCCAAATTGGAGTGCATGCGCTTAAGTTGTTCAAGGGGAACAGACATCGTTGCGGTAGTCGGATTTACCGTATCTTTCGCCAAAGTTTCACGGGTTTCAGATGGGAGTTCCGCTAGTTCGGCATTGAGCGCCTGTAGTTCTTCAGCTTCCCGGTCGATTGACGCGTCCCCCTGGAGCTGTAGTAAATCCTGTGTGGATGGAGAGATAGGCAACTGCTGTACACCTGTAGGAACATTTCCTTGAATATCTGGCGGAAGATTCGGTAATGCAGCCAATCTCCTGGCTATCGCCATGAATGCTTTTTGAGATCTAGTCGCTTGCTCAGGTGGTCTCAAGCTACTAGCGAATCCAGATATGTGCAGTTTGAGGAGAAAACCGGCTTTTGTGGATTTATATCAGATTCATTTTGAATGGTGAAAGGAAGTACACACCGTCACGATTTTGGGACACCCTGGTCGCCCAACCCGGGAATAAGTAAACGGTTTCGACACCTGCTACATCAGGTCCACGTTTCGGTAATTTTTGTAATGCCCATTCTCGCCACGTCTGCGGCTGGCCGCTGCCACTTGGGGGTGGGGTAGATGATGGTGACGCTTGTGACACGGCTTCTCGAGCCTTTGAAGCAAGATCATAAGCTTTATTGACCGCATTTGAAGATGCGATTCTATTCAGCTGAGTGCCTGCGAACGACCTCAGGTTTCTCGATCGTTCTTGCATGAGGTGTGCTGAACGTGGTTGAATGCAATGGCTGCATTCAAAACTCCGACAGTAAGTGAGCTTAGACCAACCCAGTACATACCTCACCCTCAATCCAATGCCCATAAGATGGAAAAATTTATACAGGATACTAGAATAACCCCCAAAGGTGTCTCGAAAGGGACATGGGGTTCCGAGTTTGCCACAACCAGCCTTAGACCCACAAAGGCAGTTGGTTCTGGTTCAGACCTACAAAGGGCTGGGATCACGCGTGAAACACGTGGGGGAACATCTATCGAGAAACAATCTCAAAGGAACAATACATCATTACCGAGCGACAGGGAAAGTGATGACAACCTTCGCTTCACGTCCTCCTCTC